GAGGCGCTGGAGCGCCATGTTGCCACTCATAGAGTTTGCGCTGAACAATGCAGTGCATGCGTCTACCGGCTACACGCCATGATACGTGAATGGACTGGTTCACCCTCGCGTCCCGCTGACGGCGCCATTCCATGGCTCAGGGCTTCTTGGGAGAGGAATAGCCGAACGGCTAACTGATGTCAGCCCCTCACCATTCGCAAAAAGGATGATGACTTCTTGTCTACCAGACTGAGTGTCCCCCGACACGTTCGCGATGCAATGGCTGAAAGCCAAGACCTGCAGAAAGAATTAAAAAGGAAGAGGCAAAGTGGAAAGCTCTGAATTGGAGACCTGGTTTAAATTAAACTCTTAAATCCTTTCTACACATGCATTCTCTGCTATCTTCCGGACAAAGCTTCGTCCACAGGTTTATTGGACCGTTTAACGTTGTGGCCAATCGGGGACTAGCGTATATGTTAAACCTTCCCAAAAAGATGCACATTCACCCGGTGTTCTACGTGGGTTTGTTCAAGCCGTATCGGGAGCCGGCGCATGTGAACGCGGAAGCTTTGGCGCCAGAGCGATTCCACGGGCCCTCGGCCACCTAGAAACTGAATCAGCAGCTGGTTCTGAGCACGGAGTGCAACAACCTCCATCTCCAATGGAGCCAGGCGCCCCACCGTTGCTTGCATTGACGCATTCGACTGCTCTACGGCTAGGAGTCGCTCCGACAGAGCGTGGTAGTTCTCAAGGCGAGGCAGCCGGCGCACGACGCGCTCCAAATCATCAAGAGCGTCCGCACAGTGATATGCCACTTCAGCATGAACCCTGCAGACACCGCGTTCGTTTTCCGACCTCTCGACTTCCGGGGAAGTGGTATCACAACCAATGACCTCGATTAGGCACAGAGACAACAGTTGAATGCTATCCGCAGAACGGCTATGCGCGCACATCTACGGTCGGTCTAGGACCCTCGTGAATACAGCTTTCGCTCGGCAGATCCCACTACATAAGCGAAGCACGTAATCACTGGATCGGTGGGGGTCTACTTGGTCGGGCCCCCGATGCAACAGGGTTACATGTACCCTTGTATGACAGGGTGGGTCACACAAGATAGTGTGATTGTACAAAGGTGTGGATTACGCACGACGGTGGAATCACACAATGGCGTGGCTACACCGTGACAAGTAGCAAATAAGTGGTGGGACTGCCCAGATGTAATGCACATAAATTTGGTTTTTGATATAGATTAGAAAACATAGAGGTTTGATATCAGCGGCTTCACCGCTAATAAATTAGATAAATGCAATGTTTACTTTGAACGAAAGAATGCAATTGCCTTGGGTTAAGATTTTGGGTACTCTTGAAAGATAGCGGATTGCAATCCGCTACACTCTTGTATAGAACGTAATGTCGACGACCTTAGTAAGCTTCCTCTAAGCAAAGAGCTATGTCAACCCCGCAGCATCGGACCACTACGCAAGCTGAGCTTGTAGAATGAAGAGCTCTGCGAGCGCTCGCATAAATCCCGCTAGATTTGTCTCGCGATCGTCTTCGTGCTAAAAAAAGAGGCGCATCTGTACCCGCGATGCGGACGATTCCTGTGATGCCCGCCCCTAGCGAAACTGCTGCAGATGACGAATTGCTCTTCAGCGATGGGACAGCGGCACCGGATTTTTTTCTCACTATCCAGCTTTTAGCGGAGCCACATGGACGTGGCCGTGCGCGTGGAACGTCATCTTTGGTTTGAACTTGCCAAAATCAAGGTGCGTCGTCAACTTCCTTTGGATTGCCGCCCTGCGTCGTATGGATTGATCCATCACGCTGCCGTGAGATCTGTGGACTCTCACATGGGTAAGTGTGCGACCACAGCAGCTCAGAGCCATAGCTTGAGCTCGGCTCATGACCCTTCGGCTTCCTGGCTACTGCCGAGAAGCGCGAGGCGTACGACGCGGTACGTCATGATCCCTTTAGTCATAAGCGTCCACGACCTCCAGGTAGTTTTTCAGAGTGGCACCTCAAACTCCCACGAGCTCTCGGAGTTTGGGTATACCCACCATTTCAAAAGATATTGAGTTAGACGCTGTCGGCGACGTCGACCCACAAGGTGTTCCACGTGAGAGTGGACGCCACTGTTCTCGTCGAGAAGAGTTGGCGGCAGACGATGACGACTTGCTCGATCATCGTCCTTGCTCCTCGAACTCTTTAGTTTGAGGTCCGTCGCGACCGGAACCCGATGAGTGTCATACTGGGGTCTCATACTGCTGCGCGGAAGACCTAGAGAGCTTGGAGCGCGTTGTATTCCAAATGCATCAATTTAAGGGCTATCGCGCTCTGTCGCAGCGGCTTCTGGATGTCGATCCGACGAATGCGTCACTTCATGCGAAGGTGGAGCGCTTGGCGCCATTGGATATGAAAATCGTTGCAGTGCGTGCTTAAAACCAGTTGCTGGTACAAATTCTGGGTGGTCGAGCACCTGTGGGCGCCGCCCTGGCGTCAACGCTTCCGCGTTCACTTGCGCCAGATCCTGATACCGCTTAAGCAATCCAACATTAAGCACCGGGTGGGTGCGCATCCGTTTCGGAAGGTCTGGCATATATGCAAGGCCCGGCTTGGTCACAATTTTGAAAAGTACGATAGATTGTGGATGGAGCTTTATCTTAAAGACAGCAAAAAGTGCAGTTTTTTCATATATAAGTAAACCTGGTCTAGCACCTCAAAGCTTTCAACATTTTCTCTGCATCCTCCGTCTGCATATCCTGGCTTTCAGCCATCAGTCCCTTAGTCTGGCAGACAGGAAATCATCGACTTCTCTACGAAACGTGAGGGAGCTGACACAGCTAGCCGCTCCGCTATTCCTTTCTCGCCAAACCTTGAGCCATGCGATGGCGGCGTCAGCGAGACACGAGGATAGACGGGCCCGTTCTAGAAAACTGGCGTGAAGCCAGTGGACACATGCACTGCATTGTTCAGAGCTTAGTCTACGAATGGCAGCATGGCGCTTCGGAGCCTCGGCGTCTCAGTGCAGACGCTGCAAACGACGTCTTCAACGACGCGATTCAGGCGCTCAGATTGACGATCGGTCTGCGGATGGTCCGCTGTTAACATTGCCTAGCATCTTGAAGATTGTCGACAGTGAATTGTGGGTCTCTGATATAGACAATTGACTCTGGGAATCCATGTTATCGAAATGCAAGATCCACAACCAGCGTCGCTGTATCCACACCATCGATGGTGTCCGGCACTGCAGCAAGATGATCCATCTTGCTCAAACGGACGACGAAGATCACCACACCCGGGTTGCCCGCCGAGTCCTTCAGCAGGCCAAACCCAAAGTCCATAACAATGGACTACCAAAACCCGATGAGTTCCGGTAACTAGCCTGGAGCACCGACGCATTCGTAGAGGATTTTACCTTTTGATTCGTCTGACACATGCGCACGTAAATGCTTGTTAATTTGGCAGCTCACAGAACTGTATGCCCTCTCATGACCGAGATGACCACTGGGAGGGGTGTCGTGAACCTCATAGAGAACACGTACTTCAAATCCTCATCGTGAGGAAATTCGTCGAGTCGGTGCTATAATACAGCAATTTGTTATTCAAGAAATATCCGTGCAACCGTGCGCGCAGTCGCGACACAACTTCTTGTTCAAGTTTCCAAACTCCTTGCTACCGAGAGTCGTAGCAGCGCTACGCACATAACATCAACCGCGTACACGGCGCAGATCGAATATGTCACTGACGACATCACCGTCGTGACATCAGCAAGCTCATAATTTGGTCTGCGTGACAACGCATCAGCCAAAGCAATCTGCTTTTCTGGCTTTTACTTTACCTTGAAGTTATATTTGGCGAAGAAAAAAGGCCACCTTGCCATCCTCTGCGAGAGGTGAGGCGACTGAGTCGCAGTGCGTAAGGACACATGATCTGAGTAGATCTCAAACGGCTTTGAGCCAAGCAGGTGCATTCTGAACTTGACAGGTGCCTTTTTTAATCGCGAGTAATAGCATGTCATGGACAAGGGAGTTCTTCTTCGCAGCCTTAAGCTGGTGAGATTCGAACGCGGCCGCCCGATCTCGCCCCTCAGCATTTGCTTGCAGCAGTGCACAGCCGCTGATAAAGTTCGAATCTTCACAGTCGACATTAAAAGGACGATTGGGGTCCGACAACGCGATCGTTCTTTTAGTGTAGACTGTAAAGATTCGGACTTTATCAGTATTGATGCATGACGGAAGCTGTCTTTGACCCGTCAAAAGCCTCTTGATGCTCGGTGCTCCAACACCATTTTGTATCCTTCTTAAGGAGATATGGCAATGACCGTACCATTTCTGCATAATTTGCGCTATACTTGTGCAAGTAGTTGGCGAGGCCAAGCCACTTGCGCAAGTCTTGTTGGTTCTTGAAATCGGTCCGTCCACAATGGCCTTGGATTTTGCGGGACCCGCTCGAAGGCTACTCTTCCCAATGAAGCACCCTGAAAAGGATTCGCGCCGAAGATGCAGCTAGCTGCATTAGCATACGGCTCATTCGTGCGCAGGCCCTCGAGCACTGTTCTCAAATGGACGATGTGTTTATCCTCATCTGTACTTCAGTGTCCCGCACGACTGTGGACGAAGATGTCGTCGAAGTGGGTTTGTGCATACGCCCGATGAGACCTGAACAATCGCGTCAGACGACGAGTAAATGCTGCTGGTTCAT